TGTTTTTATAATAACTATCGTGAGACATACTAAATTAAGTAAAAACGCGGGTTACTCACGTGAATATACTGAGAAAAGCTCTACTAGTGAGCTGCGCGACGTCGCCGCGACCGCGCACGCTGCTCATGAGGAAGAACCCCTCTGTGGTTCTAAACTAGTAGAGCTTTTCTCAGTATATTCACGTGAGTAACCCGCGTTTTTACTTAATTGATAATTCTGCCATACTTAAACTGTCATATGTCAATTTGTAGTTAAAAATTAACTGATGATTGAAAAATCCGCCATTAATGAAATAAAAATATCAAATAAGTAGTATCAAACACGAAAAGGGCAAAAGTATAGAAGTAGAAATTCAGTTGGTAACTGATGATAATGTTTCTGATGAGAGATCTGACAACATTGAAGAGTCAGGTTTTCGAAGAGATTGTCCCACCAGGCCATGGAGAGTCCAGTCTCCAACGAACTTATAGCCATCAACACAAATAAATGTGAATTTAGTAAAAAAACTAATAATTTTCATTACTTTTAACAACCACCCAATTGAAGTTGATGGTAAAATAAATGAGTTGCCAACGTTGTCCAACTATCATCAATTTCAATTTGGTAAAACACCATACAATTATTAATAGCAGCGTGTACACGAACCTGGACTATTTGCTATGTGTGGGCGTGTTACATCGTCACGGTACCAACGGTACAGCCACTTAGGCAAGGCATAACTTGCGGAAAGTGGGTGTCGAAAGTACAAAGAGATTGATGGTCACAATGACGAGACATATTGCATAATATAATTCGTTCCTTGTTATCTGTCATAGCCGTTGTCTGAGATAGACGTAAATTAATATTTCATTCCCAATTTCCGAATACTTTAGGAGATATTCAGCCCAGTCCGGAAAGGAGAGAAACTTTTGTCAGTTATGTCATCGGGAAGTAAGTAAATAGAATTTAAGAGTTGCAAAAGTTGCCAGCGCTACGAGAACCTTTTACTTAAAAAGTTTGTAATGCAACAAACAGCGCTAAATTGCTCAAACTTCGTGTACATTTTTAAGAGGACAAGTTTAAGTTTCGACCTGACGTTAAACTCAGCAAAACAATGATGTCGGTTTATAACCGTGAACTGACTTAGTGGTCCTTTCAAGACATGGTCATTGAAATCGTATAAGGCCGACAGGGTCTTTTATGGTAACTATTATACCTTTGAACTTGACTTCCATCGATTAGGTCGGAAACGTATCTATCTATTGAGTTAAATGGTTTGATAAATGGTCCGACCGTTCTAGAAAATTGTACATCTTACGCAATGACGTATGTGTATAACCAACGAAAAAATGTTTTATCAGCCAAAAACAGTAAATACGGAAATACACGGCTGACTGAAACTAAGTTTAACGTTATGTAAAGAAGGATAGCGTTGTGCAAGAGAGGCTTGGTCCGGTGCGCGGTGCACTGAATGCGCCTGTGCCCCGTCCAACTGGATTAACTAAACTTGATTTATGAGCTGGACTCCTGTCGGTCACTTGCGAAACAGATTGGAGCAAAACGAACAAATGCGCGGCCCGCCATTATTGTGCACCGTTTGGTAATATATCGCAATTATGAAGTAACAACGACCGTCAAAGCATTACTTAATCGGGCACGAGAAACAAAACGCGAAGATTAAATCAGGCAGCAAGAACAACTGTTGTACAAGTGGAAAATTATAATTCCTTTAAAAATACGGTTTTATTGTTAAGTTATGATTCTGACACAATTTACAATTCATGCTCTTGCCTTCCCGATCTTTAAGAACACTACGTACAAAATTGTGTATAAACGTAAGTACCTAATCTAGTTTAAATGCCTTTTGAAAAAGATCAAATATAAACGATAACTTTCGTAGCGCCCTTACCTTGAAAGCTTTCAAGATAAAGTAAATTTTTACTATTATCGGTCGGTTCACAGGTTTTAAAGTAACGATTCGTATCATTTTATCATGTATCGGTACCAGTGTAGTTGGATTATATTATGTTACGTTCATTCATAGTTAATTTAACATAATGTGACCTGTTTGCTAACCTGCTCGAATGTTCCTGAAAGTTGCCGCCGTCGAGCAGGCGGACCTTGGCGAACAGCACCGCAGACACGAAAGGCACCTCAGTCAGCTCCTCCAGACAGCATTGCACCCCAAACTTGTACCGTTTTTTCTTTGTCATGAAGGCCATGACGCCGCCAACATCGGGCCCTGCGTCACCGGCCCGGACTAACGCCACCGGCGCCGGACTGCCCCGGCCACGCACCACTGACACCGAGCTGCAGCCGGAGTGTCCCAGCTCTGTCACAACACTAGCACTAGCACTTCACTTCACATGTGTGTTAGCCACAACGCACGTGTAAATGATATTTTGATAAAACTGTAATTAGTAAACCTTTAAAAACGCCTATCTAAGTGGAGAGGTAAACCGGAGTGATTAGTTTGGCATCAGAGTCGCGTCCTCCGCGTGTCGACAGCGTGTGGTGGCAGGCGATCACTCGCATACTGGCCGACGTCATTAGTCTGGAATAGAAAATTGATGGTTCAGCACATTAAGATAACACCACTTAGGTGGGGTTAACACTAATTCTACATTCTCATTTGGTACAATATCCACCTATTTATGTTATGAAATGTCGGTAATAAGTTTCCTTGACACAAAACATGTAGTTTATGATTATTTGAGCTCATCGCCTAGTTATCCTAAGAGTTGAGCAGTATTTAGGTTGTAGTGGTAGTAAACAGAGCATGTGTTGTAACAGTGCCACCCATGCCGTCATCTATGTATCGTACGATTACACCAATGTTCTGTTTCGAATAACATTAGGCATCCATGTGATTAGGCCATCTGCTGCTTTTATGAGCTGTGATGTTGCTGGCCACAGTATCGTAACATAATGCTATCCAATACATGTGAAGAAATACTAATGAAATGAAAACTAATAAATATTATAATACACCTTGCGAAAGTACTTTAAGAAGATTCAAGTTATTTACATGCCTCCAAGGTTAAGCAGTGATGAGCAGGGAAATAGAAAATGTCAGGGATTTGGTTATTTAATATTTCAAAGTAGCGCAACTGTATTATTAGTAGAGTCGTCGACATCTTATCATTTTGATAAGAAATAATAAAGCATCCGCTATTGCTTCTATCGTTTTTTCATGACCAGTAAATCACCTAATCACTTTACAAATCATGACGAAACAAGAACATAATTTAGTCAGATCACATGTTTCACGTAGCTACTGCGTTTGTTTGACACACACTTGTTCCTGTAGGTCGAAGTATTTATGCAGCGTCACAAAAGTCCACTCGACTCACCGCACAACAACGACCTGTTTGTTTACCAATTCAAAATTTTATTGAAACCATAAAAACGCAAGTATGGATACTGTCAACATCGGGATTAGCGCGCTATAAGAAACCAGATAAGTGCACTTATTTCGTTAACAATGCTCGCGTTTTTAAACAAATAACAACTTAATATTTACAATAAAGCTCTGTAAATACATACTGTTACTAGAGTGTTGATGCTTCAGAGGTCGAACAAAAATCGGGTGTTGTGAGTCATATTGGTTGACATTTCGTGTAGGTCTGTTCGAGCTGCGCACATTTACGTACGAGTTTATATTGATAGCGATGCGGTGCACGTCCGCGCTGCAGCGCTGTTCTCGCGTGACTGCCGAAGGGTGCCAAGTGGCAAGGACGCTCGGCTTTGCAAATTCATACAATTTCGACTGCGCGCAACAACGAAATACATTTAATTACTACGTAATCTGTCTGATTGTCCTTGAGAAGATAACTAGGATTAGGAGCCAAACTAGCATGTGATAAGCATATCATTGGAGACGAAACAGTGAGTGACGTTATCAATTGTAATGTTTTGTTAGTGACGTCTGTTGTGAAACTATCGGATAATGTATTGCGTGAGAACAATATGCTAAACAGAACCTAACCTAACCTGTCGAGAGTATTTGCAATCAAAGTTATCACTCACATGGATTGAAGTGAGGTTCATGGGATAGGTAGATGGCAGGATGATCCATAAAGTCACCCCACCGCGGCCACAGGACTGTTACATAGCCTGGAACAAATAATATTTACTTACAATTTGTGTACTAAAAAAAAATAATCTAACGTAACAGTATTTTTTAATTATTAGTAGCCAAGTCATATAACCGAGAATTATATTAATTTCCGAATCATAAGAATCGGAACATTGAATGAGTTGGGCAGGCCATGTGAGTTGTTCAGAGTAATTGGTCTCCTTGAGTGCGGTATGCAAGATCTCTCAATTTCAATCTGTTCAAATAACTGGTTCAATCAGAACTGACGGGCAGTGGTTTATGGCTTCCGTCGAACCTTTAAGAAAACCTCGGCGAGGATGTGGGTAATAATGTTAATGCGTGCTCTAAGCACACACCGATCTTATATAATTGCACAATTTATTGATCAGGCGATCGAGCCGACCTTCGTGAGGCGCGAGGGGATGCGCGTGCGCAATTGACCTGGGTCACAGGTTGAAGGTGTACCATCAGATTCGCACCCACACGTCCAACAATTAAAGAAGTCGTCACCTCTTATATCAGTGCTATTTTTAGGCATCATTCAATTAAATGCAATCAAATCTCCATTCTGAGAATTACTTTTTGCAGTTAGCAGTGGTTCGAAGCGTATTTTTCCTGTTTTAAGTAACTAGATTCAATTGTGCGTACTTCTGATACAAGACTGGTTTTTTCCTGTTACTAATTTTCATCTTTATTTTTATCGACCCCCTACAGTCTACACGCATTATTCGTATTTACTTAAAAATCATTAGGTTTTGAATCTCTTAAAATATGTTTATGTTTATATCGTTCTTGTCCTACATTGTTTAATTAATGTAACATTGACATTCTTGTGGGCGTGCAACTGTTTCAGTCCAATCAATCAGGCCGGCTGAAACCAGTGCTAAGAACCAACACAGAGTTAACAGAGGTTCTGTGGTTTTTAAGTCATTTACATGTTGTAGGGAAAATAGAAAATAGGCTAATAAAAGTGAATTCAGTAAAAGCATTTATAAAGCAGCTGGTACGTTATAGCTTATAGGCACGTAGTTATCGACGGCGGCCTGGCAGTGCGCCAACACGTAAGCCTCAGCCGTCACCTTGACGGTCCCGTGCTGCGCCCCTAGGGCCTCTATATCCATAAACATACCGGAAATAGACAATACCAACCATACCTAGTCTACAACAATTCCCTATACTTATTTGCACTGTGTAATATATTACTGTAACTGTATGCATATCGGTTGGGCCCAAAAAAGGGTACTATTTGTTATTTATGTAACCACTACCAAGACATGGTAGCAACAGACAGCCGGTAATGACAATAGCAGACTATTCCTGATATGTGCAAAGAGGTCATATTATCAGCAGCAGTAATGTGTCCATGTTAATATGTTCGTATGTGGAGTATGTGAAGTGTTGCTATCTGTTTCGGTATGTGGTCGGGCGCCACCGACGCGGGCCTGCAGATAACATGCAAATGTCAGTCAGCGCCAAATTACCAGTTAATGACTTTGCCTGTTACGCCTAATTACTTGTACAGGAGATCTTAGCTATATGCTAATTCTACTGAGGAGTAACCCCTTCACATAGATCAGCGAGATCTAATTATCATCTAAGCAATTTTAATTAAATTTTACGAAGTATTTGAAATGCAAATCTTACTACTTGAGATTTTAAAGCTTCCCGTTCTCATTAGAATCCGGATTTCCTACAATTATTTAATTACAAACATGTAATGAAGAACGATCCTAAGTGAATACTGAACTACTGAACATGCAGGTAAGGGGTACATTACATATATGATATACCAGTGTATATCAGTGGTACAAATCATTTTCGCAGTAAAGTACTATTTTCAGCAACTCTACGAAGCCGATGTGAAGTTTTGGTAGGTAACTTGTATACTGAGTCATCAAGACTTGAAATTAACTAGTCTAATGGTTAATTTTAAAATGACACCCTTTAAAATTAAATAGAATCTTCTTGCCATAGCGCACGGCAGCCGGCACCCTACACGTGGGGTTACACTTGATTGCACCAGCTTTGGGGTAACCGATCAATCTGCCAGACGTGTTCATCGCGCGAACAGGAATCGATATTGCATACGACAATTTTTTTTAAAATGCCTTCTGGTTGTTGATGTTAACCCATCACTGATCTAAAAGGTGCAGACAACCTTCGTTTGCCAAAGAAAAAATTACCGGCTTCATCTCAAGAGGATTTACTGCAGAAGGGCAACCTTGACATCTGGTTTCAATCATACGGCAAGTGCCAATACATCACAGCACTACGTCATCGCAGCCTTTTTTTGGGCGAACTTCAATCGAGGATGGTAAAAACAAAGCAATAAACATGGGCAACGTGCTCATTATCATCGTCTGCTACACCTGACAGCATCACGGCATGACGCAATAGTCGGCGGAGCGTGCAGGACCGAGGCCAATCGATCTATTACGCCGTGCCGCCGCCGCCGTGCTGTACTGAGATCAAGCAAAAAAACTACAGCTTAAGACTTTACAGATGAGACACTTTAAATCTCTCTCGGATATACGTCATCATTTAACGAGAGAACATAAATGTACATACATTGCATTTTACAATGCTGTATCTAGATACACTAAAGCGCTAGCGCTTAAGCGCCATCGATTGCCCATTACAGCAACTGATACAATGTTGAAGTAAGGGATAATAAGTCAATGACCATTTCATAATATGATTATGTATTAGTGGCTATTCAAATTCAAATGTTCTGTTATTCGTTTTTTTTTGCAATAATAAATGGTGACTCATATCCTGTACCTTACGTAAAATACATACATACATAAAATAATGTAAACAATAAAATATCAACTTTACAAGTGCTGTTTTTCAACAAAAGTAAAAAAATAAACGGCGTTGATTTTCCATAACTACCAGCACGTTCTTGTTAATTACATAACTAGGAACAACGTTGTTTTAACTCCTTTTATCAATCACCAATCAACGACCAGTGTTAGTAACTAGAATCGATAGTAATTTGCATCCCCGTTGAGCGTGTATATCAGGTTGCGTGCGTGTGTGTCTGTGTATACGCAGTCGATTACATACGTCGCCATATTCATGGGGCCGACGCCAACATCGGAAGGGGTGACTACCCTATGCGAACACTGCCTTCAGTCACGGATGACTGGACAAAGGCAAGCAGTCGATAGCACGGTGCCAGTTACTATAAACCGTGACTACTGTCACTAAGCGTATTTGTGACACGTCATATAGAAATGGCGCATGGCTTGGTGGGAAGTTACCCAAGCGTATACAATAAATAATGTGTGATACACCTGGAGTTGTATTGGTTGGTAAAAACCCTGGCTTTCAGTTACGATACTAAATCATCATATAGCAGTTCTTTGGAGGTTTTAAACCATTTCAGTTGGCCCTACGTAGGAGTAGAAAATCTCGAAACAGTAAATATCAACGTTGTGCGATCCCAAAGTAAAATGAAGACAAAAAATGGCGTCTTGGCAAGTCGGCAACTATAGCCGCTATCACGCAAACGTCGCCGGTGCCTCAAATTGGTTTCATTGGCTCGGCTGGCAAAAAATTACATCAATCTTGAAGTCAGTCGACCGAACATACTTGTTTTTGCGAAAATGAATGGCGGTGTGTATGTATGACATTTTTTCAGGTGGAACAGAGAACGGACAATAGGTAGATAATTAGGCATTAGGCTGTAAATTTTTAGTCAAAAGTCAAGAATTAAATATCATGACAAATGTACAAAAATAAATATTAATAGACAAATATTTTGATAGTCTTTTCAACCAGATATTATGTAGGAAAGAATGAATATTATTAAAAAAAATAGACGAAGTTTTTGTCCTATAATTCGTTCCCAGTTACGAGTATTAAGTAGCCCACGGTACCAACAGGGTGGATATACAGGGTATAATTAAACGTGCGGCGGAGTTTCCTAGGCACGTCTTTATGGAGGGTCCGATAAGTTTACTGAAAGGATTTCATCCCGAGAGTACGGTAATTGTCCAGCTTCCAATTTCGACTTCTAATCAAATATATAGGTAAAGTACTTCCAATCGGGACTTTATAACAACTGAATTGTTTGATATTAGACACACACGTTTGACTTTAGTTATTCAAGTTATTATTAGCACACAATAACGCAACATTTTCTTATATTAAATGTTAAAGAGGAGACGAACAAAAAGCATATGGTGATTATTTGCCATTTTGAAGGTCAAGAGACGACAGACGACACTGTTGGGTCACAGCTGGGTACTTCTTACGTGTCTCGTTGTTTTAAATGTTCGACTAAATTAATATTTATTATGATTACAGTCGGCTCACTTATTTAAATATGAAGTCAGAATGTAAAACATTTTACACTCTTTCCAGTCGAATGCGAACTCAGTTGATGTCCTAAATCAAATAAAATAAGAATAACGAGGGGTTCCTTTTATTTGTCAGTCCCCAGTAATATAATCAAACCGTTCTATCCAATGAGTAGATCGTAAAAGAAAATTCTTCTAATACCGTCCTTTTTGTGGACTACCCAGAACAGAACAATGTGGAAACGCAACTAGAAACTGTATCACAGTGTGCGGGAAAGCTATTAAGTTAACTTGAATGACGTTTAATATCAGTAACGTTGCAGGCTGCTTCATACTTAATGTTACGGTGATACTTTGATCTTATATCCACAATTAAATTAAATTCAGTATGAGACTGGATATGTTATACCTATTTAACTAACTAGACTGCTACCAGCTACCCCTGATGCGCCAATTACGATGAACCTTAATATCCACGACGTTAGATGATATATTGATTTAGATCTGAATATGATACTTAGGTTAGGGGGAAAACAAGTTTTGTCTGTATAAAAATAAACAATTGTGGTTAATCTATAGACTAAGTCGAAATACAGTACAGTAGGACTAAAGTGGCTACTAATGTGAGCATCGAACTGCATCAGATTTACAAAAAGATTGAAAGATCGAACGACATGTGAAATTAGAATCTATAACGTGATGCAAGATGT